TGAGGAATGGCCACATACAGAAAGATGAGTTAGAACTTTACCTCATATCATAAACAAAGATGCACTTGATCGCATCATATTTGTTTTTTCTTTTATGTGACATCTTGTTCTTTCTTAAAGGATTTTCAATCTTATATTGCAAAAGGTACACATTAATATTATGAAGTTTAAAATGATTTCATCTGAAGTGGATTTTTGTTAAAATTATTGCCTTAGTAATTTTCATTTTTCCAGATGTTTTGAAATTTTGGTTTGCAAGCTTGTTTTGAGCCCTACCATTCAGTTTAATTTTTTTTGGCCATGCAGCGCGGCATGTGAGATCTTAGTTCCCTGACCAGAGATTGAACCCGTGTACCCCTGCAGTGGAATCAATGAGTCTTAACCACTGGACCGCCAGGGAAGTCCTCATTCAGTTTAATCTTTATTTCCCTAGACCCTCCTTAAGGATTGGGTGGTTTCGTCTTATCTAATCCCTTGGTGCTTCAGTCCAGAACCACATCCTAGAGTAGCTTTTCACTTGGGACTCCCTCCCCCTGTACTAGTGAGGATGTGAGAAATACAGATGTGGAGCCAGTGATGGTTTTGCCCAGTTCTTTTGGGCTCTGATTCAAGTTCTCTGCCTCCATCGGCCCACAGCTTCATGAAATAAATATAAATGCATAACCCCAGGCAGTGAGCCAGGATGAAGTTCTCCGTCTTACAGGAAATCCTTTTAATTCCCAGTTCTTCTCTGAGGAGGAGGGCCTGGCGGCCATTGCCAGCATCTGAATTTTGAGCCCCCAAGTGTTGAACTCTATAAAGTTGAGTGTCTTTTGCCTCTTCTTTCTATTATTCTCAGTATTTTGGAGCATGGTGAACATATTGCAACATAATTCATGACTCCATCTTGACTGGAATGTGTAATGTTTTCTTTAATTACAAATATAGTACCGGCTTCTATTTTAACAATCCGCTTATAGGGATTGTTAGGAATTCAGATAATATAGGAGTTCAGATAATCAGTATTATCTGGCATACTTTATTTCTTGAAAGTAGAAAAAAAAGATATGTGAAACACTTATGAAAAAATACTGACATTTGTTAATTTTTGATAAGACGTACATGTGTATTTGTGGTAACTTTGGTCTTTCTGATTTTTTTGAAATATAAAAATAATCAATAATACATTGATATGTAAGCTCTCTTTCTTCTCTCTCAGTTCTTTCTCTCTCCCCATTCTATGTATCCCACTGCTCAGAGGTAAACATTTTAAAGTTTATATATATCTTTCCAGACTCTTTCTGAGCATAGACAGATTTTCTATATAGCTCTCCTCTGTCTCCTGGAGGACTATTATTTTATTTTTTAAACTAAAATGGGTTTGTACTGCATATATTATTTTGAAGCTTGCTTTTTTTCATATAATGATATGTGTCACGGACATCTGCCCTTGTCATTGCATATAGACCATTTATGTCATGGTGTAACAGTGGTCACTGGATATGTATGTACCATAATTTATTTATCTTTTCCTTTGCTTTTCAACTTTTGGATTGTGCCCAGTTTTCCTTTATTTTGGACTGAACTGCACTGAGCATTTTATGTACACATCTTTGCATATTCATGCTAGTATTGCCCTGGGATAAAATGGGAGAAATGGGCTCCTGAGAGAGACAGTTTCCTGTTTCTTGTGGTCTGTCCTCCATAACTTTGTGTAAGTGCTGATTAAAAAATTGGGCATGGAAAAAGAAAATAAAAATATACTCCATATACCTCTGTTTTTCCTAACTACAGTTCTCTTAATCTGGATCCAAGAATGCTAGAAGATTCAAAAAGGATTCAGTCCCTAAAGCCCCTGAAATAGTGTGTCAAATTTGTTGTGTTAGTATATGTCTGTTTGTGGCTTTGTGTGTTCATGTATGTACACATGCATGTGCATTCAGTTTTCTGGGGAAAGCAGTTATAGCTTTCATTAGAAATGTATAGGGGGCTATGACTCCCAAAGATGAGAACGTCTAAATTGTAGCCTGGCCTGTTAATTAGCAGATGAACTGAAGCAGAGTCAGACTTTAGAGTGATTTACAACACGGGGTATTTTTCTACTGCTGCTTCTCATAAATAGTTCCAGAAGTAGTATCACCAGTAATAAGGGTTGCATTCTTAATATTTCGAATTCAGGATGAAATTTGCTATAAGTAAGTGTTAGGTGCAGGGAAGTACTTTGGATTATTTGCAGATATGTTGGAGTAGAGAGGGTAGGGGCTGAGCTGAGTTTGAACTCTATTTGGGATCCTTACCTAGGTTATGGGTACCACCAGCTCAGTTCTCAGTTGGCAAACAGGTTTCCCAGAAATTAACCCTCAAATTACCAGATACCAGAGAGAGCAGCTCCTAAATAGATTACTATAGTAATTGATCAACGAGAATTGTTTCTGTAAGCCACGCTTGATGTATGGAACTGTCCTTGTTCTTGTGAACCTGTTTGGTTATGTTGTCTATTGTAGGACTTGAAAAATATTATTAGTGCTTAGGAGGTTAACCTTTGAGCTGTGTAACACTTGACATTAATGAGATTTCATGTTAAATTTTATGCTGGGAGTTGTTGACTTGGTTTGGGGGATTGATCTGTTTCTGCTGTTATACACTGTAAATTAATTAGCAGTGTGCAACTATGAATATAAAAACTGCCAGTAGTAATCATTTCAGGAGTAGATTTTGCCTAACCTCTTTTTGCTTTCCCTGTTACATGGAGTTGAAAGAAAACTGCTTTCCTCATTAATGCCTCTGGTTACACTATAATCTTGGTAGACTGCCCCCAAATTAAATGCTTCTTCTGCAGTCTAAATGAGCCTTTTATTTTACTTTCTCTTTTATAATTCTTATAAGGGAGGAATCTCTCACAGAAAATCCTTTTATCATGTACATTTCTGTGCATTGGAATTTCATTTATCTTCTGAAACGAACTTTTCAGTTTCCAGGTTTAAAACTTTCTGTCTTGAGTTAGCCAATCCATATGAACAGAGTAAATTTTAGGTTTATTTTATGAAATGGAATAATTGTTTTATAGCCTGCTGTGTCACCAAAAGTGGTCATGGGAAACAGAGGTTTAAAAAAATTTTTTTAATTGAGATACACTCGACATACATTATTGTGTAAATTTAAGGTGTGTAATACATTGATTTGATATATTAATATTGCAGTATAGTTGCCATTGTAGCATTAGCTGACACCTCTGTTGCATCACATAACTATCATTTCTTCTAGTGCTGGGACACAATTCTTTTTCATGTTAAAAAATTAGAAAATCTTTTGAGAAAACTTAACCAACAGCAAAGTAGGTAAACTGTAAGTATTGGTTAATACAGCTTAAATACATTAGCAGTAAGAATAAAATTCAAATGCTTTTCTAGAAATTATTAAGGATCCTAACATGATGTAGTCATTTGCTTTTGCTGCTATAATATATTACTATAATTTAGCAGCTGTAAAACAATGCACATTGATTCCTTATCATTTCCATAGGACAGAAAGCGGGCAGGCTTGGGTGGGTTTCTGCTTAGAGTCTCAGCCAAAATCAAGGTGCCGGCAGGGCCGTGTTGTTTTCTGGAGGCTCTAGAGGAGAATTTGTTTCCATGCTCATTCATGTTGTTGACAGAATTTCATTCCTTGTGTTTGTAAGACTGAGGTCCTCATTGCCTTGCTGTCTGTTTGCTGAAGTTTCTTCTCAGCTTCTAGATGCTTCTTGCATTCTTTAGCTTATGGCCCCCTCGCTCCATCTTCAACGCCAGCAATGACAGGTTGAATCCCCTCATGCTTCACATCTGTCCTGCCTCTTCCCCCCATGGCATCTCTGTGACCCTAGCTGGGAAAGGTTCTCTGCCTTAAAGGCTCACGTGATTAGGTTAGTTCCACTCAGATAATTCAAGATTATCTCTTCACCTCAAGGTCTGTGTTCTTAATCATATCTGCAGAGGCCCTTTGCCATGTAATGTAATATACTTGCAGGTTCCAGGGATTAGGATATAGACATTTTTGGGGGGCCATAATTCTACCAACCAGATATAGCAACTGTCAGGTTGGTCTAAAATGGTGAATTTGTCCTAAGTGTTTGTGTGATGATGTCTTGGTAATTATTGAGTGATTACATGATTTATCATTTTTTATTACTTAAATAACATATTAAGGAATGATGTGGTATAAACCTAAATAGCCAAATTAAACTATTCTTCTATTATTGACAAGAAAGCTATTTAAATTGCAAGACTAGACCTTAATTTTTCTTTCCTTTAACTGGGATACGACAGAAAAAATAAGTAGGAATAGACAGATACTAAACCAAAAACTTGGCTTTTGTAGAACAAATTTATCTTTCTTTGATCAAAAGCAGATGTAGTTGCTGTCATTTCTGTTTAAACAGATGTTAATGTGTTGGCATTTTTCTCCACATGGAATCTCTTGGGTTAGTAAATGGAGAGTTCGAATTTTAGCTGATTGCTTCAAGATTGGCAGGAGGTTCCACATTATAAACCTTTTAAATACTAATAATGATCCACTTGTTTACGTGATAAACAAAATACCTTTCCACATTTAAGGGTGGATCATCTGAATCTTCTAAGTTTGTCTGGGTCACGGTAGCATTGTTCAAATGAATATTTCTTAATTAATCTAAATAATAAATACTTTAACATGTCTTGTCAAAGAAACAAGCATGAGTATCTCATTGGAGGATATTATATTGGTAAAAAAATGATGAACCCATTCTTTGCCTTATAAATATTTCTTTGACTAATGCACTAAGATGTATTTTCCTTTACTGAACTTTCTTTTGTAAATGATTCGAGGAGGTACAATGTGCTAATAGTGCTTTTGTTTCACATTTTTTTGTTACTGGCAAAGATGGATTTGTAGATCTATTTGTCTTCATGTCTGATAATTTTAAGTAGTCACATTATCACTCTCTGCTCTGTTCTTGTGACTTCCCACGTTTTTGCTCTTGCCGTTTTCTTTTTTTTTTAACATAGGATGAAGTAAGTGTCCCAGGCAGCAACTCAGCTGACCTGTTCCACTGGACCACTGCTACCACCATGAAAGTCCTTTCCAACACCACGACCACCACCAGGGCTGTGCTGCAGGCCGTCAGCGATGGGCAGTGGTGGAAGAAGTCATTGAGTTACCTTCGACCCCTTCAAGTAAGCAATGCATCTTGATTTTTTAATTCAATTGGTGTGGTTTATATCAGTTCATTAGCATGCTCTTCAGTTGGTTTCACTGTTGTTACAGCTTTATCTTCTTTGGATTATTAAAATAATCTCTTAAGAAATCTAGGCCTCGCATCAGATAGGGAATGAGTAATTGATTTTATGGAATGTAATATACTACCATACAATATTTGCAAAAGACAGCAATACGGATTTAAGTACGGCTTGGTTTATATGTCAGAATTGAAGTTTACTGGGATGAAAAGGAAAATGATGTTTATCAAGGCTCTCTCTCTTTTGCTATTTTTCTATAGGCCAGTAGTGGAAGAGAAGTGCTAGGAGCCAGCCTGGGGGCTGTCTTAGTTCTCTCGAGCTGCTGTAACAAAAATATTGTAGACTGGGTGGTTTAAGCAGCAGACAGTTATTTCTCACAGTTCTGGAAACTGGGGAGTCCAAGATCAAGGCGCTGGCAGATTTAGTATTTGATGCAGGCCTGCTTCCTGGTTCATAGACCGCCATCTATTTGCTGTGTCCTCACACGGCAAAAGGGGTGAGGGACTTCTCTGGAGTCTCTTTTATAAGGGCATTAATCTCATTCCCAAGGGTTCTGCCATCGTGACCGAATCGCCTACCAAAGGCCCCACCTCTTAATACTATTACACTGGGGTTAGGATTTCAACGTATGAATTTGGGGCGGGGGGCACAAACATTCAGTCTTTAGTAGGGCCTTTAGGTAAAGAGAATGGTTTAACCGATTCTTTCACGTATTCTGCAAGTAGAGGTCAAGACAAGCAGTAGAACAATTGAGTTTGTTTTCTGTGACATCTTAACCCACTGTGTCCCTGCTGTCTTCTCTGCATTCTCACACTGCCATCCATCCTTTAATCTCTCACTGGAAAACTAAGAGGAAAAAGAAACGTGCCTTTTTATAAATGCACCCTGAACATTTGAGTATCTTATTTATTAATTAATTCTGCAAATACAGGCATTTTCCATGTGTCAGATAACGTGCTCATCACTGGGAAAAGAGTGGGGAAATCCTTCAGTCTAATTCCCTTCCCTTGTGTAACCTGTATCCCAGTGGAGGAGACAAAGAAACCAACCGATAGCAATATTTGTATAATAATGAAATGGCAGGTGGTAATGAGTACTATGAAGATAACATTAAGCAAGGTAAGGGAATAGTGAGTGATACCCGGGGGAGTGAAGTTCTGATTAGGGAAGTTAGTTTCTCAGAAGAGGAATCACTCTGAGCAGAAAGCTGATTGAGCCAAGTAGGGCAAGTACGTTTTGAAGGAATGTGCTTGACATCTTTGCAGACAGAAAGGAGGCCAAAGTAAGGGGGAGCAGAGGGATGAGTGGGGAGAATGGTAGGAGATGAGATCAGAGAGGTGGTGAAGAGGCCCACCATGCAAAGCCTTCCATAGACTGCGATAAGGACTACACGTTTTATTCTCAGCAGCACGGAGAGCTGTTGGAAAATTCAGACAATGCTGTTGTGTGATCCAACTTTACTTTTCATAAGTCTATTTAACTTCTGTGTAGAGAGCCATCAGTAGTGAGTCAGGAGTGAAGCAAAAAGATGGATCTCTCTTCCAGGACTCCAGGTGAGAGATGTTGGTGGTTTGGATTA